TAGAGTTACAAGCACAATCACATGAGCGATAGCTAGAGACACACTTACTGCAGCATATGCTTTTGTAGCATTTACATCACTTGTCCAAGTGGTTGAATACTGTTATGCCTTATGGCAGAGTACAAAGTTTAAAAATAGTTGCTAAATGAGCAGAAGATGCTTTCCCAGTGCAGAATGGCCCCTTTCAGTTCGATTCTTGGTTTACATTAGAACCCAAAATATTAATTTATATGAAGTAAATGGAATTCTATGCACTCAATCCCCTTGTCTGAACTGTACTAAAGAAAAAGAAATGCTTATGAGCTTGAGTAAATTAACTCGGCAAAAGGCTTCTTCAAAGCTTGGCTGATTTTGCTGAGACCTCTCTGTATTATGGAAAGATTTGCGCTTGCTTATAGTATGCAGCTGAAATTCACAGTTTAGGGTTTAAATCCCTAAAGAAGAGATGTGGAATTTCTAGCCCGCAAGCTGAATAAGATCCCAGGAAAGTTCTCCATGAACTCACCAGCAGATTAGCTCTGCCAGTCCACTACTAAAACTTTAAAAGTTCTACAGTACTTATTACTCTATTATGAAGCACCTTATTATCTACTTCTTTAAAAAATCAGAGGTACACATTAGAGTTGCAGATTCAGCTGACATTGTTCCTGAGTTATTTATAGTCACCTTAGTATCACTTTCTTAGTTAGTATCAGGTCAGTCCCTAAGAATGAACAGATACACATATACTGTATACCTACACACAGAGTTGGAACTTGATTGCTCCTGTGTTCATCATTTTACATTTGCTTTCCCCAACTTAGGTGAGATCCTGTTAGATGTCTTTATTTCCCCCTTTTTTAAAACTATAATGAATAATTTGGTATTTTAGGAAACTTGGTCTCCTCAATGCTCACTCCAGACGTATGTAAAATCTGCAGGAAGGTTATCCTGCATATTTATTTATTTGTTTATAAACTGGTGCCCAGCCCCAGTATAACCAAGCATGTTGTTCTGTTAGACTTTCCATTCTGGGGAATTGTGACTTCAGTTATTAAGTCACACAAACTCAATAACATTTTGATACTGTTTCATTGCTATAAATTGCAAATGTATATTTGATTTCCATTTGTGTTGAATCAACAACAACCAACATAGCAATACAATTTCCTTTGTACTTACCACAGTTTAGAATATGGTTCTAATGGTATTCAAACCAAAAACAGCATAACAATATTTGAAACAGTTTTGTTTAAGTGTTTTAGATGTGAAACCTCTCTTCAGGTTAATTGAATGAATAAACACCATTCTCGCTAAAGACCATTTATTACACACTGACCTTGCAGCTGGCGCCCTTTGAACACATCTTTTGTTTTCCTTGGATGAGCTCTAGCACCATTATCACACTTTGGCTGTTCGTATCTTAAGGGAGAACAGGAAGAAGACAAGACATCAAGGGAATGCTAATTGAATTTGAAAACTCTACATTTCAACAGCTGTGTGATCACACTGAAATCTGGCAGAGAGCTTGACTGACTCTCAACTCTAAAATTATAGCCACACATTTACCCAAATGCCAAATAAAGCTCCTTCTAAAAACCCATTAATTCATGCTATTCAGCAAGATAAGAATTGTGGGGCTTTTCTCCTCCCCTAAAACTTTTCTCATGAATGGTTTCAAGGTCTTGGGCTTGATTTCATAAAATTCTAGAGGCACTTCCTTGAGTGGATAAAACTGTAGTTCAGTTATTGAAGCGGTAAGTCAGTATCAAACTGTTAATGTCTTATGGTACTGTAAAATTATTGCTATGTCTCTTCTTTTTGGGGATTTACTTAAGACGTGCTTAAGACAACCTCAACCCAATGCCTTCCAGACTCATTGGGACTACAGCACCCAGAACCAGACTCATTGGGACTACAGCACCCAGAATTCCCAGACAGCCATAGACAATGCAGGGGTATATAATATGTAGGCAAAGATGGCCATGCAAAGGAGAGCCATGTATCCAGGATCTGGAATTATACCACTGTATTAACTGTAGTGTTTCATCTACAGTATATCACTCCCAGTCAAAAACTGAGATGGATTTTCAGAGAAAAAGGTCTTAAATATATACAACTCTTTGTGTCATGGCTTAGTCCCAGCATCACATATCTGAACTACTTCTAGATATCGCAGAATCCAAAGTAATAACTTTAGACTTGGATGCAGTTATTTATTTATTTATTTATTTATTTACGATATACTTCATGATGTGCAGCTGCTTGCTATAAGAATTATTTCTTTCTTTGCAAGTATCTGGTAAGAGAATGAAAGATGCTTTCAACTTATTGTTTATTAATTGGATGGAACAGTGCCATGCAAGTAAAAGTGACGTCATTCCCAAGACACAAGACCATGGCAACTGTTTTTAAAGGTTGGATTCCCTGAAATATATTGTGGGCAAAGAGGAAATACCTCGTTTCCATATGATATCACAGAGCGTGTTATTAATTAAACACTAATTTGGGGGTGATTTGTAGGATTAGCTTTCTGCCACCACATGACCTATACTGATGGCAGAAAAATGGGCTCAAGATGCCAGAAAACTACTTGTATCTAATATACAAGTATATATCAATGCTCTTTGGAACATTCTGCCCCCAGAAGTGCGATTGGCCCCCTCACTCCTGGCCTTCCATAGGGCTTTGAAGACCTGGTTCTGCCACTTGGCCTGGGGTGGGGAGGGAATACTTCAAGCATGGGGATGGCTAGCACCATAGAGGCCTGCTGTCTTCAGCCCCAGATTTTTCATCTTCTTGGACTCTCCTTTTCCTTTTTTAGTAATGTTTTTAAATTGATGTTTTATGTATTTATATATATTTATTGTTTTAATGTTTTGTGTGAGTTGCCCAGAGTTCCCCCACTGGGGGGGAGGTGGGGAGGGAATACTTCAAGCATGGGGATGGCTAGCACCATAGAGGCCTGCTGTCTTCAGCCCCAGATTTTTCATCTTCTTGGACTCTCCTTTTCCTTTTTTAGTAATGTTTTTAAATTGATGTTTTATGTATTTATATATATTTATTGTTTTAATGTTTTGTGTGAGTTGCCCAGAGTTCCCCCACTGGGGGGGAGATGGGCGGGGAAGAAATTTAATAAATAAACAAATAAATAAATAAATAAGCATTGTACTTCATTACATTTCCTATGTACTTGTGGCAGAGACCTTCCAGTTTTCAAATGCTATATAATTAAACAAATGGAAAAGGGACTGATAACAGGATCAGATAATAATTTTTCCTATCACATAATGGCTTTTGAGTTCACAAACAGCACTAAGAATGCTTGAAATATTCAATCTTCTAGAATTCCTAGGCAATTGATTTTTTTTTTATATAATCTTATCACTGGGGTACAGTGTGGTCATCTGCTACATGGACCTGGGAGAGGGGAGCTAGGTTGACATGATTTATTCTGTATTACAATTTTTCATTTTCCTATTGCCCTTCTGAACTTTGCACTTTGGTTCCATATTTGTGTCTGATGTGAAATGTGGGTATGGGATTATATGTGATGGGACAAAAGATCATAAAATAAATACACACATATAGATATATGGGGGAGATGCAGGATTGAAAGTTGAGTCTATGTAATGTTAGAAAATTTAATAAAATTTAAGGAGTGGGGGGGGGGGAAGCTCTTTCCAAGCCCTTGTAACAAATCATGATGTGTTTTGATACTGTTCTAGCCATGAGAATAATATATTGTTGGAATGAAACAAATAGTCCCTGCCTCCTATGTTTAATTTATCTTCTCTTTGTCTGAAGGGAATGAACATTTCTGCAACTGGCTAATAGCCCATCAGATATAAGCTGCTCCATGAAGGTGCAATGCAATTTCGTGCTCAGGTTAATAGGTGTCTGTGGGTGAAAGGGGACCCTTTAGAGTAAGAAGAACAGAAGCTGTTTTGATAGAAAGCTTTGGATGAAGTTGATCGTAATTGCTGTCACATGACCTTTTTTAACCAGCCAAGTAAAGAATGAAAGAAAAGTCTTTGAACTGAGTGCTCTAATGTGGCATGTGGCAAAGAGCCTGATCTCAAATTAATCTGATACCTCACTCTGCATTCCTTCCTTTTTCCTGCTGCCTTCAGTCACTATAACCTGCATTTCATGATTTTACTTTCAATTCTTCTTACCAATTCCAGAGTTCTGCTCTACCACAGACCAAATATCCATGTTAAACTTGTAGATGTTGAACATCTACAGTTCCTAAATGCCTTAGCCAGGCTGGTCAATGGTGAGGAATGCTGGGAGCTGTAGTTCAGCAGCATCTGGAGAGCCCCAGACTCCACAATCTTGTTTGATGTCGTTTTCTGCCTAGCAGAAGTAAGTAACAACCAGCCAGAAGAGGGAGATGAAATATGAGCATGGTTTATTTATTAAAATTCTGCCCCTGACCTTTTTTTTCCCCTGGAAGTTTCAAGTGGCATAAATGTTTTCCATTAGGGCCAGAACCCCTTAGCACTGGAAATGGAACCATATCATATGATGCCTTCTGAGCGTTCTTAGAGTAATTCTGGTTTTTAGTAGAATTAATAGCAGCTGTAGCAACAACAAACCATGTTGGAGTGGTTCTCAATAAGCATGAGAGCTAGAAAATTATATTTTAAAAATGGCATAATTAAACTTCAGACAAGAATGCAATATAGTAACGTTTATGGGATACATACATGCCATCAAAATAGACACAAAAGAAAGGAAGAGAAGGAAAGGTTCACAAATGTGAAGAAACAGGGCAAAGGGCAAAGTTCACCTTTTCAATTTTAAGTATTCCTTAATCTACATACCCACAGTGAACAATCTCAGAATCAGCTAAGAAGCTTGATAATTTAAGAATTTGTTTCCATGGGTGATAATAATTAGCCGCTTACCATAAGGATTCAAAATATAGCCCAATTTACCTGCTCATATATCTTGCGTGGAAAACTTTGGCCTTTGTATTATAATTCCCACTATTCCTCACCATTGGTCACATGGCCTCTGCCACCTAATCTGTCACAGCAAAGCCTATAAAAGGTCTTATGCTACCTTAAAAGTGTAAGAAATGCAGGCTTTTGTTATAGCAGCTGACATTTCCAGAACAAAAGAAGCAACCATAAGGCAGAAATACAGGGATCAAATGAGATCAAATGAGGCTCACTGGTTCACTCCACTCAGAGTTGTTGACATGGTCTTTGCAGACTCTCTGATTACAATCATCCCCAGTCCTATCTGGAGATGAAGGGAATTAAACATAAACTATGCTACCAACTCACAGCCCTTCCCCAAATGAAACTGTGAAAGAGTGAGCAGATATTCTGGCTTTTTAGAGTTTACTCTCCAAAACATTGTTTTGAATGATCAGCCTTTCAATCCATTTGTGCTTGTATCAAGCTAAACATGCTGCATTGGTTCCTGGTGAAAGTCCATACAAGCATTCCTAAAGACGCCAAGCCCACATTGTTGCTTTTGGAAAGTGATATTTTGTCTGCCTTGTCTGCTAAACAAGGCTCACAGCTCTTTTCCCTGCTTCTGGCTCAGCTGAAACTCATGAACTTCAATTTACTGTTTAACAACATATTAAAAATATTTTCTCCTTTCTCCTTTCTACTGGTTCCAGCAATGTTGCTCCATGGAAGTTAATCATGTGAAAATGGGCTGAAGGAACTGTTTCTGGGAAATAATAGAAAGATCTTTCTGAGGCTACATTTCTTTTCCTACAGTACATGGATCCTGGCAGAGCAGACTTTCCCCCCCTAATTGCAAAATTGATGCAGTTTCTCCGCTTTTGTTGTCATTTTTTGCAATACAAAGGGCTTTACAGTCTTTTTTTTAAATGTATATATCATTTTTATTAAAACTTTTAAACAGGAAGATAAAAACTAATGCAAACTAATATAAAGTAAGGAAGAAAAAGAAAAGGAAAGAAATCAAAGAAAAAGCAAAATGTGCAAGAAAAGAAAAAAAGTTGAAGAAAAATAGAAAAGAAGGAAAAAAGATATAAAGAAGTGGCTTCTAATATTCTTCACAGCAGTTATAAGTGCAAATATATTTTAACCTCTCTCCCTAAAGTTACATCATATTACTCTTCTTTCTATAATCTATCCTGTCTAATCATCAAAACCATAAATCGTGCAAATATATTTTAACCTCTCTCCCTAAAGTTACATCATATTACTCTTCTTTCTATAATCTATCCTGTCTAATCATCAAAACCATAAATCGTGCAAATATATTTTAACCTCTCTCCCTAAAGTTACATCATATTACTCTTCTTTCTATAATCTATCCTGTCTAATCATCAAAACCATAAATCAGGTTCATTTTTTCATTTTTACACAAAAAGTCCTTAAGAGGGCTTACAGTCTTGAATCTTTTCACGTTAACCCTGAAGTTTGTAAAGTTTATTCCAACTTTATAGTAGAGAATTAAGATTCAGAAACAGCAACTTCCACAACATCATATTAAGAGCCCCAAAATGAGCAGAGATTTGAATTAACATCAAAGCTGAAGCCCCCGACTTTATTGCCTCCCTGATTTGACAATGATAAATTGTTAGACGATTGCTTAATTTCATCACAAGTGCTGTCTTGCTGATTAGTTTTAAGCACACTAATAATTAATGAGAAGATCCTATGGACTAGAGCCAGATTTAGTCACAGTTACTGTTTACACTCTAAATCAATGGGGCATGAACTAGTCCTGATTTCTCCTTATTGCTTTCAGGATGTAGAATATGCTTTTCCAGAAGCTCATCCCATCTTTCTTTGTCTTTACAAAAGAATTAAATAACTCCACTCTTCTAATGCTGATTGAAGCTCTTGGTCACATTCAGTGGTCTTACTGATGTTTTTATTATTTATATATAGCAATTATGTTTTAATTTTTTTTCTTCTCTTATTACCTTGGTCATACTATTGGATGGAAAAGTGGAATGTAAAATAGATTATTGATTTACTTCAAGTGTGTCTAATTCTAGATAAAACCACTGAAAAGAATGGGGATGTAATCAGAATTTGCAGCAGGGCAGTAAGAACATAATTAAATTATATCACTTTTAAAAATTTTCCATTATTTTAATGGCTCATGACTGTTCCCTTAGCCTTAATTGCTTATTGATTCAGACATCTTGCAATAAACTTCATTACAAAAAATGTGAATGCCAGCACTCAAAGCATGTTAAGAATGTTGAATATTCCTGTTACACAGAGAAACAGTAACATCTTTTGCATGTTGAATTGACATAGAACTGTTACACAATATTCATTGTCTATTTGGTGTGGTTACAGCCCTTTAAGATTTTGGGTGAAAAAGAGCAACATCATATAGCTTCATATATAAGTGCACGTGTGTGTTACTAATTGTTCCTATGCCTTAGAAAAGGGACCAGATGAGATGGTCCCTTTCGTGAGATGGGTGGCCATATAAATTTGATAAATAAAGAAATACCTCTGTTATTGTATGACCAATTCTCCAATGAAGATCTCTTACCTTGTGGATGTACCTGGAATGGGGCGCCCTGTATCAACAAGGACACACCAACAATATCCTGTGGAGGGGTGGCACTGTACTGGTTTGTAAAGCCCACCATTAGCACACTCTGGAATAAATACATTGTCTTTCTGGGGCTGTTTAGCTTCTTCTAATGCTGACTGAAGCTCTTGGTCACATGAAGCTGCTGGGAAGAAAAAGTAATAAAGTTATGGACATTGCCTACATAGAGATTAATTTATTGATAAATTAGCCATGAAGCCAATGGAAAACACAGTTTTGAGGTATTACACTTTCCTTCTAACTGTGTCAATCTATTATAAATCAATGGAGAGTTTGCTGCAATCATTAAACTTTTATATAGGGGGAGGGAGGCATGCACAGAAATAGAAGATGGAGTAGGAGATTTTACCCAGGTCAAAAATCCTTGGGCAACAGGATTTTTAGCAGGGGGAATTTCCCACTCAATATCTTCTGTATTGATTGGCAGCTCGACCCACAGGTGGATAGTGAGAGGCTGGCAATTTCATTGGTGAGGAAACTGCCCAATGAATCAGCTGGGGAAGAATGAAGATTGAGCAATCAGGAGGAAAATTGAGAAGGGAAAGAGTATAGTAGATTGGACACCTGACTCAGAAGGATGGACCCAGCAGCTAGAGGAGTAGCTACCTGAGACTTTGGGTTGTGAGCCTTTGTCAAAGGAAAGAGTCAAATTGTTCCAATATGGGTTTTGAGATGTACTCCACCTGTAAGGACATTACTCAGTCTGCTGCATGAGAGGAGAGGCTGAACGTTATTATTGTACTTATGTTATACTTTGGGCATCTGTGTGCTACTTCCTAATGAAATTTGGGGGGGGGGGGCGCTGTGCTGTCAAGTCAGTGTTGATTTCTGGTGACTGCCAAACTAGTCCCTGCAGTTTTCTTGGAAAGATTTTCAAAGTGGTTTGCCATCGCCTTCTTCCTATGGCTGAGAGAGAGTGACTGGCCCAAGGTCACCCAGCTGGTTTCATGCCTAAAGTGGGTCTAGAATTGAAGGTCTCCCAGTTTCTAGCCAGGTGCCTTAACCACAACACCAAACCAGCTCTCAATAATATAAGTAAAAGTTGTAAAAAAATCACACCTAAAGATTAAATAAATGTTATTGGATCTGAAAGGGATTCTGTTGAGAAATCCCATAGAAAGTTGGTTCCTCAAACTCAGGACCAGTTTCTGTGTTATAGCAGGAGCTACATGCATGTACAACCACCATCCAGTGATATGCACATAACAGACAGCATCAGAACTACCCCATGAACTTAATTTTATTTTCACATTAACATAATATGCCGTTAATGGACTCTCAGAAAAAGATATGTTCCAAAGCTACAGAGTTTAATGAAGCTTTGGCATTCAATTCACTCATCACCCCAAATCCACCAAATAACAAACGTGCCAGTGAAATAGTCCCTGATAACTATTTTAAAGTAATGTATTTCAAATATATCTAGAATTTAAGCATCAAATTTAAGGAAAAAGGGGGAAAAAATCTTATTAGGAGAAACCTAAGTTCAAATTCAGCATATGAGTATCAGGAAATTGCAGCCTTTCCTTGGAATCTGCTATTTCAAATAATTTAAATGTATTATGTTAAATACCCACAAGTTTAATTGCTTGTTTATAATAAAAGTATGAAAACTGTTAATGTTGGGTTAGAAGACAGATAAATGGACTCAAGAGAAAACTGCACTTAGTTTAAATAAATGTTGTCTACCACTCACAGAGACAAACACAAGCCCAAGTATCTGAAGTTCTCCTGATCTCTAAAAATTAGGAAGGGATAGTACTGTAAGCAGCAACAAGGACAGGAAACCCAGTAGCATAAATCGTCTGTCATGTTCAGTATCAGTCTTCATCAACCACAGTTTCATTGTTACATATGTCCATCCATTACAAGACACACCTGCAAACCAGCATTGGTGCATCACCAGCAGCAAAGAATTTGGTCTGCTCTGTAGCCTTGGGAAACCAGCTTCTGCCAAACCGTTACCTCGACACAAGGTGAAACTTAAGTTCCAGACTGTTTTCCTGCGTTGTGTTTTTTTCACTGGAGATACTATCTGCCTACCCACCATTGTTCCCCAGCTCTCACTTCACATTCACTCAGCCAGTGGTAGAAAACTGCTCAAAATGTTTGTATTCTGCAAGTCAGTTAAGACAAACTTAAGGAAAAACAAATTATCTTCATAGTATACTGGGAATATTTTGCAAATAAAATAGGTTATGGAGTGGCAGTGCTTAATTTTCTTTCTTTGGGATTTACTTGAAGCATGGGAAGCCATGGAGGCTGCAGATCACTGGAGAGATGAATATTCAGAAAAACAAATGAGATTCACATACCACTAGGCCACTTCAAATCTAAAATACAAGAATACAACACTCCACCCATGAAAGAAGGTCTAAAACAAGTTTTTTTTCCATTAAATTGAATGAGAATTTACAGAAAAAATGCAGTATAATTTCGCTGCTTCTCACTAGTTTGTACTTGAAACAATAAACAAAACATTTAGACCAACGTGCTCCAACTTGGTGACATCTGGATGATTTGGACTATATTCCCTATAATTCCTAGCCAGCCAGCTAGGTCTTATGGGAGGCGATGGTAAGATTCTCCAGCTCTCTCTGGAACAATTTGGGATGGGACAAAACAACTAGTGGGAGAGGGATTCATAGCCTGAAATTGGGTTGGACTCTTCATTAGAGAAATATATTTGAGTTCCAGCCTGGAGCAGAACAGAGACTTTCTTATATCCATCATATTATTGCAAAGGAAGGAAGGAAGGGAAAGAAACCAGAGTCTCCAAAGTCTCTGTTTGTAAAGAATAGCTAATGTTAATAGCTAATAGTTAATAGCTAATTATTCAGAACTGAGCACCTTCAGCAATTTGGGGCTTTCTTGAGGCCAGCTGGAATGCTGGTATCTCCAGTTCACTATCATTCATATGTGCCTTCCTGCCCAGATGAATACAACAAACTCTTTTGTGCAGATTTTATTTAATAATTTAGCTGTAAGATCTTCTCTGGGATTATAATGCTGTTTATATGGGTTGATCCTTTCGAAATGCTTTATGAACATGAACATTTTAGAATGTGAACTCTGCAAACCCATGTTTATTTCTGGTTGTGCAGGAATGCAATCACAATCTTATCATATCTTCTCATAACGTCTCTGCATATCTGTGTTTATTCTAGGTTTGAATTAGGTTAAATAAAATACATATTCATGTATAAAATTCTTCCACTCTTGTGACATAAGAAACTTGCCATGTAAACCACAGAAGTAATTTTACTTTGACCACATTCACATGGCATGTTCTCACTAATCTGGGAATATCAAAAGTTCTTTTTTTCCCCTTTCCTTTTCTTTTGCTGGCACATCTATGTTGCTTTTGTTTCAACAGACTGCAGTACCAATTTTTCTTGAACTGAACCCCTTCTGAAAAGTGTGGTTTTTAAAAGTCAAATTCTATCTTTGAAAGTTTCATCAGTTATTTTTATTTTACTGGGCTTAAAGGCTGACTAGTATACATTCCAACTTCCATAAATTGAGTTAAAAACAATACAGTACTGTACAAAGAAACAAATCAATATTATTATTCAACTTACAATCATCCATATAAACAAAAATTCAAAAACTTTTCCACTACCAGAAGGTAGAAGATCATAGCATTCTAGCTTCAAGGTCTGATGGCATAACCATGTTTTAATGGTCTTCCTAAAAATGAGGAGGGAAGGGCCCATCTGGATATCTGGCAGAATGCTGCTTTGCCAGACATGGGTGGCAACTGAGAGGTCTTGCCTCTGTGGTCCCTGGAGATGTCATTCCCTCAATGCAAAGACCTGGAGGAAGCCCAATGTTGTTGGATGGGGATCATGTTAGATAGGGAGATCTTGTTGGATGGGGAAATACAATTAGGAATAGGCAGTCCCACAAATGCCTAGGCCCTGAGCAATGAACCACTGTAACAGCTAACAGCTTCCAGACACCTGGAGACACCTCAGCAGCATCACTTGTTCAACCTGGGGTTGAAATGTAAAGTTTATTGATGAATGTGGGTTTGTGGATAATGTTGCCCATTGGCTTCATGTATATGTTAAATAGGAATGGGGAAAGAATTGAACCTCCCTGGAAGTTACCTACCAATCAGAAGGGCCACAGAGAATCCTACAGTTGGAAAAAAGTCATGTTTGTTTTTGTATATGATAACTGCAGCAAGATTATTGTATGCACAAAGAGGGAAAGATTCAGCAGTACCTACAACAGAGGAATGGTTGGTGAAGATGATGGAACTTGCTGAAATGGCCAAATTGACTTCTTTGATTAGCGAAAAGGTAATATCTACGTTTATTGCTGACTGGAAACTTTTTGCATATGACTTTTTTGCATATGACTTTTGCATAAAACAGAGCAAAATGAACTTATGATTTATGGTTTTGATGATTAGACAGGATAGATTATAGAAAGAAGAG